TATGTAAATAAAATTAAACAAAAGTTAGAAAGCTTCATTGGTAGAAGCTTTTGGTATAAGTCCTTTTAGGCTTAACTTGATATACTGGGTGACAGCAGATCAAACATTTAAAATATATCTGATCTTTATTTTATATTAGGCGTTGCTTTATGCGTTCAACCTCTTTACTTGGGGGAAATCGCTCCGACGGCGTTACGAGGGGCCATGGGAATGGGAACCTCTGTTTTCATCACTGGTGGCATTTTAACCGGACAAGTGATGGGACTCAAGTAAATGCTGAACTCAAAATACCTTAAACAGCAACAGGTAAGAGATACTGATCTGACATGTTTGTGCGCTCACACAGGGAAGTCCTGGGTRAAGAGGAGAACTGGCCCGTCCTGCTGTCCACCACCTTTATTCCTGCATTACTGCAGCTCCTCATCCTGCCCTGGTTCCCTGAGAGCCCACGCTACCTGCTGATTGATAAAGGAGATGATGAGAAATGTAAAAAAGGTGAAGTAGCTTGCTTTATCAAAGGTTAAAACATATTCTCTTTTTGTGGGTTGCTGCTGGTTTGAACAACAACCATGAGAAGGATGTTTCAGTCGTAGATATGACCAGATGTGTATCAAAATCTGAAGGCTTTCAGTCCAAACATRGCCAAAGAAGTCCAAACTAAATTAAATAAATTCATTGCTGCTCCGACTGCTGGAGGCAGGGATATTTCTCTCACAGTGGTTGTCGGTTCAAGCATGTGAGCTCTTTCAGATCACGCTCTAATGTGGGGGAAAAAAGTGGTGCAACGCTGAAAACCTTTTGAGTGGATCTTAAAAATAAGTCAGGCTCTCGCAGCCTGATCAGATGAGAAGAATGGTGCGTACAGAARATGTCATGTGTTCTCCTGTATGCAGCCCTGAGGCAGCTGCATGGTTCGGCTGACTGTGATGGCGCGTTGGAGGACATAGAGAAGGAAAAGAGTAACTTGGTGGGTTTCCAGGCCAAGAAACCCTGGGAGCTCTTCAGTGACGGCAGCGTGCGTTGGCAGCTTCTCACTATCRTTCTGCTCAACATGGCTCAGCAGCTGAATGGCATCAATGCTGTGCGTATGACCTCTCACTGTAACTTCAGTGACTTAGGAGGGGGAAAAAGGGTTAAAATAATCAAGCATGTGTGTCTTTCTCTTCTATTCTTTTCTCTGCAGATTTATTTTTATGCAGATTATGTTTTCAGACAGTCAGGTATTCCTGCTGAGAAAATCCCGTATGCAACTGTCGGCACTGGAGCCTGTGAATGTGTTACAGCTTTAACATGTGTAAGTATGAGTTTCTCAACAAATCTGCGAGACTGTCTTAAATTATTGTTTTAGACAAATAAATTGTGATGCTTCAAGTGAGAGACACTAAGTGTGAAATCAGCTGTTTTTCTTCGTTTCAATAGATACAATTACAACAAAATCACATAAAATGATTRAATGGTTTGCTTATTATATACTTRTGCTCTTTGTAGCATGAATCTGAWGGGTAAAAAAGTTGTAATTRAAAAAAAACTTCTGGRTGAACATCTCACAATTGAACAGATCAGGAGAACAACAGGATGAAAAGTATTGTTTCACAAAGACACATGTTCTCAGAAATACCATGAGGATAAACACAATAAGTCTGGTTGTTAAAGATGTACTTAGGATTTAGTGAAATAACCTCTTTAAAAGTATTTGTCAGATGATCCAGAGAATTCAGTTCATCACAGGGCCAGACAGAGACAAACAAACCTGCACTCACATCGAGGGACAATTCACGCCCCTTTTCCACTAGTGCCACTTAGTGTAGTGTCAGTACGGTTCGGTACGGTTCCAAGCCATTCCCATTAGGCCAGATTCATGGAACCAGCCCTTTTTTTAGTACCAACTTCGTTGATGTTCCATGTGGTCCCAGTCGACACCAAAATGCGATGTCAGAACACTGTTCGTCACTGGTTGTGTCTGAGCTGCCTTTACAACAACAACTCGAGGCACCATTTTTTCAATTGTAGCATCAACATTAGTTGTGTTTCCATCCAACTTTAATTCAAATTTTTAGTGAATTTTTAAAAATTATGAACTTATTCGGCAAATGTGTTTCCATCTCTCATTTTGCGCATTAAAGCTGGTAACATACTCCCTCCAAACTGCTGAAGTTGGCACGGGTTGTTGCAGTTTCATGACGAAAATTACGTCACCGGTGTTCGCAGCGTCGTCTCGGCCGACCCTTTTGGCACAAACCACCGGCAGAACTTTTTACCCCCCTCCCGCAACAATGGTAATGTGTGATTGGTCTGAAGTTCGTGGGCGTGTTTGCTTGTGCTGAAAGCGCTCGGACGGTTCCTCTCGGTAAAATAAAAAAGAAAACAACTCGCTCCCAGAGCCGACTGTTACCAGTAAGCAGAGTTTTATAAAGATAGTCCAACTGTGAAAAACTTGTGAATGGAGATTAAACAGACATTGTGCGTGGAGGAATCTGACTGATAAAAAATGTGGAGCTTTAACCAGGACAGATGTGGATAAATATGCCGGGTGAGTGATGAGTCTGACATTTTTTCTGCATTGTCAGCTGTTGCACGCAGTGTATGCTGCAGTGGGAGTGGGGTTTCCTAAGCTTGGCGCGGGGTGTCTCAGGGAAACGTGTGTGCGAAAACGACTACCGAACAACCACGTGACCGTGCGTTGACCCGTCAGCGTCGGAGGGAGTATGTTTCCAGCTTAACTCTTTTTTGAAAAAAAACAAAAACCACCTCCACCAATCACCCAAAACACACCCACTGGAACCGGATTGGAACGTCAACGGAAAAGCACCCTTAGAGGTGCTAATAACCCGACAGGCATGTGTATAAAACATAGTTACTGGAGGAAACCTAAACGTGCACAAGCAGAACATGCAAAGTCTATGCAGGAAGAACACCTGCTTAGTTATGAACCTCCTTGCTGTGAGACAACAACTCTAATCAGCAGCACCACCATGGAGCTGATGGCTCTGATAAACTCAAAATTTGAAACTGATTTTAGAAATTCAGAGAAAATTAATCATCATCAGCACACAGTCCARTCAGCAATCAGGATTAGTGATTATTTCAGCAAGACAAACCTTTACAGACACTTTGTAAGAAGTCTGACCGAAAAAAAAAATCCAAACAAGTATTAATCACCTATCCAAAAAAATTAATAAATAATTTATAAAGAATTTGTTGAGTTTCCTAATTACAGCAACATTTTGTTTTGCTGGTGTTTAACTCCAATGTGTATTTTCTAAAACAATTAAACATTCACATATAACTGTATCTGCTTTTAAATAACCTTCAATTTGGAATAAGAATTGTAGATTTGTGGCAAAAACTGATCATGAAAATTCAGTTACAGACAGAAAAAAGTGGGTTAATTGTGAATAAAGATAAAATGTTCAGAGATAGTGTGAAAGGAGCTGAACACAGCAGGAGTCAGAGTTAATTCAGAGTTTCTGGTCTTGTGACCCRCTGTGTGTCTCAGGGTCTGCTCATCGAATGTCTGGGAAGGAAGGTCCTCATCACGGGAGGATACATCCTGATGAGCATCTGCTGCATTTTATTCACGCTCACCCTCACTTTCCAGGTACCTTTGTTCTCAAAACCCCAAATCTGCACCATACTTACATCCTTTTATTTAATTTTTTTATTATAATCTCTTTTCTCTCAGGATGTCAGCCCGATTTTTCCATACCTGAGCATGGCCTGTGTCTTTGCCTTTATCTTGAGTTTTGGCTTGGGACCAGGTAAGCAACTAAAGCAGGAACATTTCACTTGGCTTTTAATGACAAGGCTGAAGGAAGTAGAGGTGCAGAGGGTGCTACAGCGCCCTCTGATGGATGCTAGATGATGCATGCAAAATGAAAAGATTCATGAAAAGAAAAGTTTTTTTGAGGGACGTGATTTAAATTCCAGTGTTTTGATATTATTGAGTTTTTTTAACCTGCGTTGTGCAAACTTTTACAATCTTCTAAAACAGACAGATTAGGATTAGTTCATAACTGCAGCTTTATTGTTACTGCTTGTCCAGAGTATGAAGACTGTATTTTTATTGTCCATATGGAGTCAGAGATATTGACACACTCACAGCACCAAACAAATCAAACATAGTTTTGGTTATTGGCTGTTTTTCTGTGAAGGTGGTGTGACCAACATCTTAACCACAGAGCTCTTCACTCAGACCACTCGCCCTGCTGCCTTCATGATCGCCGGATCCGTCAACTGGCTCAGCTTCTTCTTCATCGGCCTGGTCTTCCCTTTTATTGTGGTCAGTTCTCAGAGTTGTTTTTAAAAAAATAAATAAAACATCACCTTGAAATTGTTTTATGGTGCATTGTGCCTGTTTGATCCATGATGTCTGCTTCAATTCTCACAGATTGGGCTCCAGCAGTACTGTTTCCTGGTCTTCTTGGTCGTCTGCTGCTTGGTGACGGTCTACATCGTCCTCGTTGTTCCTGAAACAAAAAACAAAACCTTTGTGGAGATCCAAAATGAGTTCCAGACCTTCAATAAGAGAAAGTCTTGTGGTGCTGATGGAGCCGGAACGGTCCTCTTATCAACGCCTTTGTGAAACGGAGTCAGAGTCTTCTCTGCAGAACCGGCCACAAAAACAAGAACAACATATCAGAGATGTAACATGCTGTCATAATAAATCATATAAAGAGCAGTAACACATGTCCACAAACATAAAGAGAGTTTGTGCAACATTTGAATGTTTTAAATGATTCTTTGTACTACCTCTATCAAAGGTGCATTGCTTAGATTTTTTAAATAAATTAAATAAATAAATAAAAAATACAGCAAGTTTTGTAAAAGGTGCAAACAAGTTAAAAGTAAAGTCATTTTTTAAATCTGAGCTTGTTTTTCTAATCCCTCTGGGCTGCATGTGATCAGGCGAACAAATGGTGGGTGGGGGTGGGGGGTATTTACTGGAATGCATTAGCAAGATTAATCAGAAAGATCAAAAAGTTCATTAGAACCAGTAAAACCAACACAAATAAACTGCATAAGACACAATCTGGAGCAGAAATATCTGCATACTGACAGTTTTTCTGCTTTGGTTGTACAGTCCATGTAATGAGCGGGTATTTGTACTACAGGCCAGTAACCAAATTAAAAGAAAACAGCAGGAGTTAGAGCTTTTCATAGGTACAATATGTGCAAAAGTTTTATTCAAATCATCATATCTTTTTCTTTCAARGTTGAGACACGGTTCAACAATAAACTGCAATGTTCTTTGACAGTAAAACAAAGCTCCAATCATTTGCTGTGAAGTTCATTTATTATTTTTAAAGATGGTAAAAATGTAATGGTTCATTTAAAATCTGGTGTCTTAAAGTGAAACGGATCATATTTTTGGTCGAAAAAGTAAAAATAAAACCTTCATAAGACAGACTGAACGCAATTTTTTATTCCATCCAGTTCAGAAACTTCTTCAGCGGTAATGTAACAGCCTTCAGATGATCCAGATGATTTTTCAGGGTTGGGATTTGTTTCTGAACCATAATGACSTGCTTTTGCATCTGACCCCAATGAAGCTTAGAATAAAAATTTTTACTGTTGGATATTTACTGTTCAAGTCCAGTGATAAAATCATTAAAATTCATTTTTGTTACTTTTTATTTATGTGCATCATTTTATGCCATGAGTTCAATTAGTCTTTAATCTTTCCTTATATTTAGATTAATGATAATAATTTAAATTTGAGATTTAATTACTTTTTTTAACAATTTTGTTAGAAAAGCAATGTTTTACTTCTGTATGAGAGTGAATGAGTGTCAAATGTAAAATATTTTTTTATTATTAGCATATCTTGATCTCAATTGGGT